ATGAGATATATCAAAACTGCAATAGCTCTAATAACTCCTCACAATAAACAGATTGAATGTGTCTTTACCCCACAAGTACTTGTTTGTGAGCAAAGGGGGGGATTAATTCTCAGCAACAGTCTCCTAGCAGATTTACCTGTGGTAACAGGTTTCAGAGTGGTAACCGCGTGTAATAGCCCACCATAATTTACTAGTCTCGTTTTAGCTGGTATGGCAACACCCATTTTAACATGTTCTCTGTGTATATATATCTTCCTACTGTATTTTCCACTGCATACATCTGATGAAGTGGGTTTTAGCCCACAAAAGCTTTTGCCCAAATAAATTTGTCAGTCTCTAAGGTGCCACAAGTATTCCTCGTTCTTTTTACCTGTGGTACTTTCATCTGCTGTGGTGCTTATTGTGTGGGGCGGAGTGGTCTCTGAAGCAGGTGTTGTTCCTTGCACTGTTGTAGACTCTAACAAGAGATGGTTACAGCATTGGTTAGTGAGAACCAGGAACCCAGCGTGAGGTTCAGTAACATACATGGGGGTAATTGGCGACTCTTCTTCAAAGTGAACCATTCTGCCTACCAACTCTTACGTTATTTGAACCCTCATCTGAAAGCAGCCACCAAGTTCACAGCCCACCAGGAAATGTCAAGGAGATTAAGGAAGCACTGAGGGATCCATGTTACCTGATGAACTGGTGCCTACTGTAGTTGGACTTGAAGTAGTCGGGGCTTCTCCTGGAAAAAGATACAAAGAAATTTACGTTGAGAGGCTGGTTATTCTGTTCTATGAAAAGTGTCATAGGATAACCCTCGGATAGCTTTTTTATTAGACTTCGAATGAACATGTGTGAGAAATGTGATTCTAGAAACACAGAGCATATGACATATACCCAAACAGCAACCAGGATCCAGAGATACGTCATCCACAGAGACCCATGTTCGGTTGTCCGTGCCAGTCACACCTTCCAACACAACCTGCAGGAAGAGTGAAACAACATCTTGTTATATTAAGTCTCACCGAATTACACCACTGGCATTAGTGGCTGGCTGTAACCTTGATTTCAGATCAATAAGGACACGTGCCTCTTTCCTGCCCTGGGCAGGGCAATGGTAAGTAGATTACAATATATCTGCAATGCTGTTACAGAATGTTTTAAAAGATCCTAATTTTGTTCTGTGACATTGTGACGGGTGTACACACGCCATTCAGTGACTGGCCGTGAAAGAGTTAACATTCTTTCTCTGACCACAGACAGTCCCACAGCTGTCTGACCTCACTGCAGACATTGTCAGACTGGGCTCTGCTGGAGGGAGGGGCTCTAATATCTGGCGCTTTGTCAAAGGCTTTGGGAGCTTTTCTGGCGGTGTGTATTGAGACAGGGACTTGGGCCTGGTCTACACTACGGGATTAATTCGGATTTAGCAGCGTTAATCCGAATTAACCCTTCACCCGTCCACACTACAGAGCCAGTTAATTCGAATTAAAGGGCCCTTTAAATCGATTTCTGTACTCCACCTCGACGAACGGAGTAGAGCCTAAATCGATTTTGTTAATTCGAATTAGGGTTAGTGTGGCCGCACACCACCGAATTAATGTGGTTAAAAACCGAATTAAGGTGCTTAGTGTGGCCGCGCACAATCGAATTTATACAACCTGTTTCCCAAATTCGAATTATCTAAATTCGGATTAATCCTGTAGTGTAGACATACCCTTAGGGAGTCAGAGTGCTTTGCAATATGAGGAAAGCCTGGCTGCAGGAGCCCATGAAAAGCTGATTTAAAAGAGTTCCATGTGGAAGCGCAAAGAGCTTTTTCTTTTCTCTTGATCCATAAGCTTGTGTTATTTTTTGGACTTCCACCGGGCTGTGGGTTCCCTTCCAGGCTAACGACGGGTCTATCAATTCTTGCATTCCCAAATGTGGTATAACACATATAAGCATCACAGGTTTCCAATGTCAATTCCTGGCCAGCACCTCTCTCCGACTTAGACTCAGGGACCTTTCTTACCTCAGTAATCACAAAGATAACACCAAGGATGTTTTTTGGTTGTGTAATCACCTGAAATCTACCAGAAATGTGCAAATCCACTTCTGCTAAAAGCCAGTTGTCTGCCTTGTTTCCAGTCATTAGCCACAGCAGAAGGGGTTTGCTGTCCCCTTCCTGAACCAGGTACACCTTCAGTGCCCCATCCTCTGCTACTCCTGCTATGTGGTATCGGAATCGGAAACACGCAGCCTGACTGGCAGTGCACTGAGGGCTTATTAGCTGGCCTTTCTCCTCTGGGTGGGCATATCGGCTGTCGGTTGTTATGTAATAGCCATCTGTGAACAAAAGGGTAGCAGGGAACAGTCAGACCACGGGCACATTCTCCTCAGTAGGTATCAGTTACAGCGTATTGAGAAAACACTTGCCATGCGACATATTTCCATAAGGAGGTGCTGTGGAGATGCGTCTCCAGTCAAAATCATCGGAGGTGGACTGTCTCCATTCACAGAAGTTGTCATCGAATGAGCAGTTGAAAGGACACTCCCGGACACTCTCTGAAAAGAAGAGTCATTATTTATTGTGTTATTTGCAGAGACACATGTGTAATCAGGTTTCTTCATCACCAATTTCAACTGACAGCAATGTTCAAATGAATATTTTCAATGTATTGTCAACCCACTTCAAAACTCTAGATTCTGCATCATGGACCAAATCCATCCTGACATAAACTAGTTCAACTCCCAACAAAATCTATGGCAAAACCTACAAAGAAATTAATTATCATGAGAAATGTACAGTGATCTCAGGAGCAGTATGGCCAAATAACATCATAAATGTCAAACCAAGAAGGAGTCTTTGTGGCACCTTAGAGACTAACAAATTTATTTGGGCATAAGCTTTCATGGGCTATAACCCACTTTATCAAATGCATGGAGTGAAAAATTCAGTAGGCAGGTTTAAATATACAGCACATGAAAAGATGGGAGTTGCCTTACCAAGTGGGGGGTCAGTGCCAACGAGGCCAATTCAATTAGGGTGGATGTGGCCCATTCCCAACAGTTGACAAGAAGGGGTGAATTTCACTCCATGCATCTGATGAAGTGGGTTTTAGCCCATGAAAGCTTATGCCCAAATAAATTTGTTAGTCTCTAAGGTGCTACAAGGACTCCTCATTGTTTTTGCTGATACAGACTAATATGGCTGCCCCTCTGATTCCTAAATGTCTGAAACCTGTTACAGTCAGGTATGCATACCCACTGATATCACTGAGACAGAATCATGAGAGAAGTGTTTAAGTTTCATGCTGAGTGTAAGTTTGATGAAGCCATGGTGTATATTGCTTTTCAATATCTGTTGGAGATGGATGTTAAAGTTAGTATTGGAGTTTTTTTGACAATGTTTTAGACAATGTGAAAGTAGAAAGGAATTTTTCCCCCTTAACTTATCTCCTTCCATTCTCTTCAGGTTTTGCGTAAGCATTATCATTAGAGCTGGACAAATAAAGAACTTTTTTTATTCTCTGGAAATTCCAAAAAAAAAATCAAAAAATATTTTGTTTCTGGCTGAACTGAAAACAACATTAAAAAAAATTCAGCAAATCGAAAAGTAGAACATTTTGGCAACTTTGAAACAAAATGTTTCATTTTGTTTCAACATAAAAAAATGGTTTAGTTTTTCTGGCATTTTGACAAGAGCACAGGAAATGTGGACTGTACTGTAAAAATAGACGGAGAAGGTGGTTGTGGTGGGGTGCCCCTTTGACAAGCGTTAGCGCAGTGGGCAGTACTATCTATCGCTGATTTTCTTCTGGAACTGCCTGCAGCTGTGATCAAAAGTGTAAAGATTCTCTCAGAGCCCCACTGGATAAGTATTGAAAGACCCTCGGCATGTAACTGGGCACACAGATATTTACAGATACGAGCTGAAATTTACCGCAGATAGTGTCCGCCGCCCATTCTCC